ACGGATAAAGTCATTTCTTGCATAGTGCTCTCCGAAATTAGCTAGAGGCGGGTTTTTCTCGGACCTTTTCGACCTCCTTTGGATCGTTTTCCCTCGAAAGACGCTGGATTGAATTGACTATAAAGTGGACCTTCATTGATAGAATAACAACTGGCCTCTCAAGATCCAAGAAACTCCGGCCTGACGGGACAGTTTGCTTTGGCCGACGAATATACTTAGTTCAGATTCAGCAGTCAACTGAATAATTGCCATATATATCAATAATTATCCTTCCGGTTCGTGATTATATTATCACTATATATAGGTATATGTATAAGAGTTCTCTAGAGTAGATTAAACAAACAAAAACATGAAATAAGCTAAGAATTGGTGTTCTTCCTAAATTTCTGGAGGTTATATGCCACGGGGAACACCTTCCTTGGCAATGTGTTCCAGAGCCTCGCTGTTCATTGGATGAACGAGTATTTGGAGAGATATGTTCTGCAGGTCTCCAAAGTGACCACGAATGAGTGCGAAGCCTCAACTCGACGGGTTAATCTCGTGGGGACTGCCAAGGGAGGAACAATTGTTGATATTTCAGAAGAGCATCGTCCATGGAAATATCTATGAATTGGAGCCAGATCGACAACTTTTCTACGGTGTTCCAGAGTAGTGAGTGAGTTTGTGAGCGAAGCATCCCCACGAACATAAATATAATCATAATATGATAAATATGATACTTTGTCTTGTCACCTCATATCATGGACAACTAATAGATGCGATATCAGACTTATCAGAGGCGATTTGTCTTGTAACTAAGAGGAAAGGAAATTGACACGTGTGGCGTAGCTAAAAGTTTGTTGAATTATGGTGTTCTTGGATTCCAAGTTCCTTGTATTTTCGCATGGATAATTAATTTTGATTAATGTACCTATATTTCGAAGTTGGCACCTACATTATATTGATTATTCGTCGAAATTTTATTATTGGATGTTGAATTTATTTGACTCATTATCAGGTGAAGCAATTCGTTCACCTATAGTGAAATGGCATATTCAGTACGAATCTGAACACATGGCTGACAAAGATATGTTGGTGCAAAGTTATTTAACAAACTCCTCAAAAACATAGAGAACATGAGCCGTAATTTGATCAAGAAAGAAATTAAAAAAACATTGGTACGAAAAGCATATTATGCAGTGAGTGAGTTCTCTGACGACGCAATAGAGTTGATTCAATTATGTTTGTGTAGGTATTTATTCTCACAATTCTTTGTGCATTTATGTATTTTTACTATTTTTTGTGTACATGTTTCCTTAGAATTCTTTTAACTGTTCGTCAAAAAAAAACCATGACGTGAACATTCATCCGTTGCATGGCTGATGTTGCAAGTACTTATTAATATACTTGTATTTGTATTTGTATTAGGTTAGTCGGGGAGATGGGCTGTTCATTCTTCTAGTTCTTGTGTTTCTAAAAATCAGAAATATCATAGTTGACATTTCATCATAAATGATCTTCATATCAATTCGTATTCAAAAAACTTGATTGATGAAACAATCCCCCAAATTCAAAATCAATCAAAATTCACAAATACACAACAACAAAGGCAACCATCATCAATATCGAATAATAGAGGCCGTATTTTCTATCAGAGTTTGTCCAATAGAAGCAAATTATAGAAACAGAGAATATGGTTTCTTGAACACATCTTCATATTCCTAAAAATGGAGGCACCATCAGTGCAAAGAAAAGAAAAACCAGCCATTTCGGTTTTGCATGTATATTTTGAAAACGGTTCGTGATATTTCCGATTCGGAAACATCGTATTGTTCACTAAAATATGCAACTTCAGTTCAATTCAACCAACATCGTATCATCTACCGTTTTCGAAATGCCATATATTATATCCCCGATATATCTGAACAAATGAAACGTGTTGGTGATAAGTTGATAGTGAAAACTGTGTTCAAGACTAAAAATACGATCAATTCCAACCCAAACGAAATCGGAGAATGAGGAAAAATATTGATATATTTCAATATATTCTTTCTTCTAGTGTCAGACTATTATTAGCAGTAAGGGATTTTTCTCAGATTTCTGAGAGCAAAATATTCAAATGAGCAGTGAAATTTCGATACAAATCATATTCTCTGAACTATCAATAATACAAATATAGTGAAATAATGCTCCTATTTTCATTCATAAAAAAGACGGAACAAAAACCCCACCAAATCTAGTGAAATGTTTAGGTATTCAAGTCATTAGTAATCACAACATTGATTTACGAGCGATCCAAAATTTCAACGCTTTATATTAAAGAAACACCATTTCTCATCCTGACGAGAGAAGCAACCATTAACTTCGATTATGGTAATCCAGAGTGTGTGTCTCGAGGGAAAACTATCTTCCAGTTTTTATTAATGTAATGTGAAATATGGTATAGGTATATCCAGCGCCACTTCCTGAAACTATATATATACTTGATGGATCATCTTCAGGGGAATAGGTACTATTTGCTATAAGTATCCAAAGAAAAAGAGTTTACTTATATTGGAGTCTCTGCCTGACTATAACTCTATGAACTCCACAAGAGTTCGTGAATTCTGGCCTTTATTCAGAATAGGTAAGAGGGGTTTTGTCCAAACAAATTGGACTCGATGAAATCTTGGATTAGATTCAAAAACAATGTTCAGATCAATTCATCGTTGTCTTCTAGTTTTAATAACGAAAGGTCGGGAAATATTAAAAAAGTACACTCGTGACTGCATAAATATTCATCGATTAACCTCTCTGTTGACTTTTCGTGAAATCATAATATGAACAAACCGTTGATAATCTGAATATTCCGGAATATTCTGTGTATCTTCGTATAATTTGAGAGAGGCTGATTTATATTTCCAATCCACTTTTAATCCATTCCCCCTCCAAAAATACACTTCATCTTTGGATCAATGACGCATCTGACTGCCAATGCAATAATCAAAAGTAACATTTTAAGAATTGAGTCTCTTTCCTGTACGAAACTTATTTTCGGTTATATACATCTGATTCACCATACGCTATAATTTAGTCTATGAAGTAAACTTAGTTTCATTATTGATACAGTTCGCATTGGCTGTGATTGTGTGAATGACGAGCTTGGAATCATTTCACCAGGAAGGTAATATTTTTTATCAGTGGCAAGATATATTCAAAAAACTAGACTTATATTTCAATTATTGTGAAAGGACTTTGAACTACGAAACTCTTTGGTGAGAGTCTGATATTTGAGCGCCTGCGCCAAAGTGAAATATTATATATATTTCCATGAATAAAAATAGAAATACAAAGCTTCTAAATCACATAGACAACAGTGATTATTTGAATGTCAATGATTTTTTTTTAAATTATACTCATTTTCGAGTGGAAGCAGAGAATTCGACAATAATTACAATGCCTTTCAAGGTTTTCAGAGACTCATGGTGAGTAATGTATTGAGTAAATCAAAAGGCACACTGCACAAAAAGTGCAAATCAATCGAAAACGGCTTTCCCAAGGATACTGTCTTTTCCAAATTGCAATAAGTTATCCTGCAAATTACTGATTTTTTCAAAATATCCAGTGGCGTGCTACTTTTTTCTATAAAAGGGGTATGACCCCCTTGTACCAGCAATTCTGGTACATTTTTTCGACTCGTTCTGTGATCGAACGTAATTGAGTAAAGGTGCATTATTTAAAGTGTTTTCATCATGAAACGTTTGCCCCTTTCGCTAGTCTCTATCACCTCCTGAAATCAATCTACACAAATCTGAAGTCAGGACCACCCTGTATGAATAGTTTTATCCAAAAGATACAAGGTTATCTAAAAAGTATAGACCGAATCATGAAAGCTGATATCGAAATATTCTGAAATATACCCATGAAGAGGCCAATAATTTGGAAAGTTTTGATCCCATGAACAGACCAACTCTGTTATCCTGTTGAAATATAAGAGAATTGTATATTGTTTTATAAGATCAAAAGTGACACTTTTTTTGACAAGCGAATTTTGCATTTGCGAGGCGACGCGTTTAGCGAAGTCGAGCGAAAGCATAATTTGCGAGTCAAACAAAGTCACTTTCGATCCGAATGAAACATGCTTTTCTTTCTACAACCGTAACAATTAACTCCAATAAATATGTGAAGTAATCACAAATGCCGTGCCATATGTATGCAATGCAACAAATATTGACAAATAATCCGTGTGGTGCATTAACAGCAGGTTTATTCCATTTTCATGGATGTTCGAATTGTAGTTTCAATATAAATACAACCACAGAGTGACATAGTTGTGTAATTGTTTTTGGACCAGGTGCTCTTATGGCAAATACCGCGTCAGTGCCAGGTATAGGAACAATAAGACGTGGAAAATGTTAGGTTAGTGAGCATATAAACAATAATAATAGCAATTATTTATTCCTCTCTATACTACACTGTGTTTGACTTGATAATCAAATAGAGATAAACAATATCGTTGTTTGAGACAAAAACTATTGCTTGCCGTGATTATTCGAAAACAAGTTATCCATCCTGAGAATAACGAATGAAATAGAGATCAAGCAAGTATTTGAATCTTGAAGGCTTCCCTGATCAAAACAAAAATACTCAACTAAGATGTTTATAATTCCAATACTTAACTTCAATAAGGTGTATTTATATCTCCAGCATAGGTATGAAATGAAAAATCTGCCGAAATCGGAAATCAGGTATGCGTTCCAACCCAAATAACCAACCGTAAAAATGTTGTTTATTCTTGATGACGTCTAGTACACCCTATTCAGTTCCTAGGAGCTAAAGTGCAACTTAAGCTCCTAGGAACTAAAGTTCAACTTTAGCTCCTAGGAACTAAATATGTCGCCAAGCAATACCTATTTTTGTGTCAGTAATAGAAACATCGATTCAAGAGCTAATTTTGGTATCAAAATGGACGACTTTTGTGTCGGTTGCATAAAAATGTGTTTTCTACGTCCCACCTCAAGTTCCGATATTCTTTGTTGTAGGAGATGGCACAGACGACCAGGCTTTCGTTCCCGAAAAGATGTCCGGCTACGAGACCAACCTCTACCTATACTCGGAAGAGATGGAGGACAGGCCCAGGATATCGACCCTCATCAGTTCCTTGGCGAACTACTCCAACACCATCCCTCCGGCATCCAACGATCCCGATGCCAGACCCCCGAGAACCGGCGCCGGGATGGGAACCCTCATCGGGGTCTACCTACCCTGCATCCAAAACATTTTCGGTGTCATTTTGTTTATCCGTTTGACCTGGGTCGTAGGTACGTATTCCTAATAGTGTATTCGACTGGATTACACTGACATCATGTTGCCAATGGCTTATGATGAAAATTTCCACCGCCTGGAACGAAAAGATCCGAAATTGTCCGACGAGAGAATTCAAAATTACTTATAGAACAGGCGGTAAACTGATGATATTTTCATATGGAAAATTTTTTTATGAGAGTTTTTCCTCACGCCATTTGTTCAATCGAAACAGGGAGTGGATATGATGTGGAAAATATATGTATTTCATTATAACGTACTTTTTCATACATAAAATATTGAAAACATAAAAAACTAAAAACAGATTATAAATACCTATACTTATAGGAACAGTTTCAGTGTAACAAGTTATTGAATAAAAATAAAACATATAAATAATAATAATAAAACAATAAAACGAAATTGGTTCTTGGATTGACCATTGGCTTTAACAAGTCATTTTTGAATTCTGGTCAAAGTGTAGTTTGCAGGTAGTTTGCAAAGACTATAGTCTATAAATGGGTAGTTACTAGTTTCTAGTTTGGTCATTTGTCATTTGTTCTGAAAATTTTGAAATACGTTGTTTGTTGTTTTGTAGGTTAATAACACAGAACACAGAACACACTCGTGTCTCGTGTCAGTCTCAGTTCTCAAACATTCTTCTTATTATTATTAGGTAGAAGATTGAAATGTTCTCTAGGCCAACGAACAACTAATGTTGTTCCAGTTGTTCTGTGCCTGGGCCTTCAGAATGGGTCATCATCATGATCTCGATAATGAATTATCCGCTTCACATCCAATTTTCACCAAAAGATCCGAAAATGTCCGCCAAATTTCAGGGTTAGAAAATTATCCGCCACCTCATCAAAAGATCCGCAAATCGGACAATTGTCCGCCGATTGGCAACACTAGTGACATGGTATTAGCGATTCAATATAAGCGATACGCCCTCTTGAGGATATCCAAGGAACTAATGGAAAGTATTGAAAAGGAATATTCTCAGATATAATTATGAACACAAAAAAAATGGATATACAGTGTGACCCACTTCTAATAGAAACACCCCTGTATCTTACGTAATCGTTGGGTAGGGATCCTGAAATTTGCTGGAGCGAGAGATATACCAAAAATGGACTTTATGACCAAGTGGGGTAATCTTCAGTGATATACATTGCTCGCCAACAGCCATGGTACCGCCACAATTTCCGGAAAATGATATTAGGAGTCAAAATAGGTCGAAAATCACTTCAGATTCGGAAACATGACCTCTAATTCACTAACTATTCATATTTTTTCTGAAAAGTTTTTATTTCTGAAAAACTAAATTTTGTCGCACTTTTTACGCAAGCACCCCCGTATCTTACGTAATTGACTTTATCTTTGGACTTTCCCTTCCTCCTGCAAATTTCAGAACCTACCTACTACCGACTACCGAACCTACCTACCTACCCCAATAATTACGTGAGATTCGTCGGTGCTTCCATGAGAAGTGAGACATAATTTAATTTTTCTGAGCTGAAAATTTTCTAGGAAAAATATGAATATTAGTGAATTGGGCGTCCTGATTCCGAATCCGAAGTAATTTTCAACCTATTTTGCCTCCTAATATCATTTTCCGGATATTGGGGTGGTTCCGTGGCTGTTGGCGAGCAGTGTATATCACTGAAGATGACCCCACTTGATCATAGAGTGCATTTTTGGTATATCTATCGCTCCAGGAAATTTCAGGATCCTTACACAACGATTACGTAAGATACAGGGGTGTTTCCATTAGAAGTAGGTCACACTGTATATATAAAGAAATACATTGAGAATTCACATTCTCCATTTGATGAAAATATCAATTCTTTCTCGGTTTATTCAACAGAAAACAGCTACTTTCCTAGCTATATGCCACGACGAACATTGAATTATATCTATTGAACACGCACGATAAGAATTTGAAAACGAAATCTTCTGAAGTAGAGAATTTGCTTTCTCCTTCATATAAAGATATGCACATAATATCATTCTGAATATTCAACAGAAATCAACTTCTTTCCTGGCTATTTGCCACGTCGAACATTGAATTATATCTGTTGAACATCCAAAAAGAGAGCATGAAAAATCAAAACCCTCTGAAATTGAGAATGGACATTATCTCTCAAATCGAATAGAATACTATGATGTATTATGATATAAAAATATAACTTACCAATATATTGAAATGAAAATTGAAATCTATAGGAGAAATATACTTGTATGAACACTGATTTTGAAAAAATAGCCAGGAAAGTAGTTGTTTTCTGTTGAATATTCAGAATGATATTAGGTGCATATCTTTATATGAAGGAGAATTCAAATTCTCTACTTCAGATGATTTTGTTTTCAAATTCTTATCGTGTGTGTTCAATAGATATAATTCAATGTTTGTCGTGGCATATAGCCAGGAAAGTAATTGTTTTCTGTTGAATAAACCGAGAAAGAATTAATATTTTCATCACATGGAGAATGCGAATTCTCAATGTATTTCTTTATATATGTATCCATTTTTTTTTTGTTCATAATTATATATGAGAATATTCCTTTTCAATACTTTCACCCAATCAAGGGGTTCAAACTTGAACGATGGAAACTTGTTATTTTCATAGACCTCAATCGTAGATTCGTGATTGGGTTTTCTCAATTCAGAATTTCTTTCCATGTCCTGTATGATGAATATCAATTTATCATACATCCAAAAACTAATGGAAAGTACATTGAATGTTTCCATGCATTTTGTCTAAAGTTTTGTGGTCATTGTGATATTATTAGAGTTTGAATTTTTCAGTAGAGTATCTTGAATCAATATTGCTCGGTTTCACATGTTATTCGTGAAAGTTTTCTCACTGCATTTCACAGAAAATGATGATTCCAATCGTGTATAATTGGATTCTATGATACAACAATCAACAAAATAGGAAAATGAATATTCGGTTGTTCAGTTGTATATTTCATGTTTTATCTAATTGCTCAGAGGAATCGACACTGACACGATAGTGTCATTAATACAAGAACAAACGCTAAAGGACGTGTAAATTACAGTAGATCAGAATCCGGCAGTGTATGATATAGTGTTTGAATGTGAATAATGTCTTCTTGGGATAATAAGGTTATGGCTAAACCTCTTGTATGTATATATGTGTGTGGGCGGTCCGGGACCTGACGCACTTAGGCCTCCCTTTTCGGGCCCATTGTGCATCCACATTCCTGGGATCGCAAAGTCAGCCATGGAGAAGGCCGATCTCGCGAGCAAAAGAGACCAACTTCCTAGGCCAAATCTTTTTAACATCCTCTGGGTCCAGGATACTGCTCCCAAAATGGATATCCCTTGCTGCCACTATTGTGAGGATGTGAGTAGAAGTCTCTTCATCCTCTAGGCACCATCTGCATTCAGGATCCTCCACAATCCCGATCATGCTGAGATGTTTGTTCAAGTGGCAGTGCCTTGTCGGAAGGCCCACCACCAGTTTCAGCTCCTTCCTGTTCAAAGCCAAGAGGGCATTGGTCTGTCTTCGTGACGGGTTTCCTATATGGAGTTTGGACTGCCTCATTCGAGGAGCCTTTCTCCAGCTGTCCTGAAATCTTTCCGTCAGGATTGGCTAAACCTCTTCAAATGATAAAATTTAGCTATAGCAATGTAAATTAATCTGAGAGAACCTGAAAAACTGAGCAGAACTGATTGATGTTTTGTATTATTAAATCTGAATTCGAAGTCTCCCAAATTTTCAAACCTCTGGTACTCTTTGATGTCATGAATAATTTCTTTGCCAATTGTATGATTTTTTGCGACTTTAAATCCAGGGTATTTTTTTCTTCGGCTCATACTTCCATTGGTATTTTCCTAACACTTACATCTACGAAAATTTGGTAGGTACTGAAGTTATCGTTAAAAAAAATACTCACACAATGAATGGCTGAATCTAGCCAACATTTTGAGTTCATCTAGCAAGACCTAATCGATAGGAGCATTAAAGAATTTCCAAGCCCCCGAGGAGACCTCGTGATATCCTTCGATTCCTCCCATGTTTCTTCTTAAGCTCTCTCATAACTCCTCTCTACACTCTTGCCAGTCCTGTGACTATCATCCTCGATACCCTACTTCTTTTGAACTTGTTTAGTGAATATGATGAAATTCGTTCATATTCCATCACTCAAGTCCTCTTAAGCTGTACCGTTTTGCTCTAATTACCCACCAAGTTTCCATACTCACTCGAAGATAGCTATCAAATTAGACTTAGCTAACGATATTACACAAATTTCCAGATCTTAGAGTCCTTTTGAGCCCTTTCAGATATCTGAAACTCGCGCATAACTCTTGAATAACTTTCTCGCCAGTATAAGCTGTATGATATATTCATTGAATAGCAAAACTGCTATTCTCTCTATGCACTCACAAATTTTAACTCTAGCGGGTTTCTTTATGAACTCTGAGGATGAAATTCTGAATTTCTTCTTCTTGAATGTTACGTGATGAATGTATTCTTTGCATTTTGTTGAGGGTAGGTTTTTCCTAGCTGAATGAGGGAATCAGGTTAGTGGTCTCTAACACTTCGGCCATCAGTGTGGCCTATCTTATTATCCTTAATTCATTGTTTCTTGTGTGAATATGATTAACTGGTGTATCCCCTGACTCAAATTTATCAATCTGCAAGTTATTTCTCTGTTTGGTACTTTGTTAGGGACAGTGGCTTGTTGGTAGTCGTTAGTTCGAATTGAGGATATCAGTATTCAGAGCTGTATGACTTTCCTTGCCACTACTTCACTCATTGTCGATTCCACTGGTTGAGGACATAGTCAAATGCTGAGTCCGGACCGATAAATGCTTCCCCAGAATCTCTCCTCGACTGTCGTCTGATAGGATCTATTGAGGGTAGATACTGATACATTTTTTATGTTTTTGGTTGTAGGTACCGCAGGGGCCCTTCAAGGTTTTCTCATCGTACTTTGTTGTTGTTGCGTAACGATGTTAACCGCCATATCAATGTCTGCGATCGCCACGAATGGGGTGGTTCCGGGAGGAGGGAGCTACTTCATGATATCGAGATCGATAGGACCCGAGTTTGGTGGAGCTGTCGGCATGCTCTTCTACACCGGTACGACGTTAGCTGGCGCTATGTACATCGTCGGTGCTGTAGAAATTCTACTGGTGAGTATCTGGTTGAGTCGTGAAATTGGAGTTGCTTTGTGGTTTTAATTAATACTGTGTTTGTTGGTTGATATATTTGGTGTTTTGTGTGCAGTTACATTAACATGAGCTGGTCAACAGGTGGCGATAAAGTTCAAGAATCACCTGTGCATGACGCATTCTTGAAATGGAATGTTTCTGATTTGCTACTAATTTTGTTCACTTGTTGATGAAACTTCGAGAGGACTTCAATTTTGTAAACATGATTTCACTTTCATTAATGAAAAGTTATCAAGAAGACTATACTTAATTATTTTCTTGATGTGAGTTGATTAGCTATAAGGAGTTTCGTTCTCGCTATACATTCAAGAATTCACATAAAAACTTTTCCAATTCCCTTTGCTTGCCTATAAAGTCACATATCTATCAAAGTTACACAATACCAGCAAATCGACATCAAAAATATAAACCAACAAAGAAAGTTTTTTATATACACACAATATTCCAGCCAAAATATACTGGTCGACATTTGAAGAAGGATACTGAACATTTCCGAATATTTCTAAATATAAATTAAAATGAGTTCTTGTATAGATGACCACAAATATGACCACATGATCATGACTTTGCTGAGTTGATGTCGTAAACTCCAAAATTGAATTGAGTCCAAGAAAACCTCATGGCAAAGAGAACAAAGCTCATCCAGCTCCCAACATGAACAGGTTAAGAATACCTTAGCAACATTATATGGAAAAAAGTAGAAGTTTGTAAGTTCTTGATTGGTCTTCGACTCAAAAACTAATTATTTGATGTGCCATTCATTGTTTCGAGTGACTCAAGCACAAGTAATAAATTTTGAGAAAAACTTACGTTCAGGTGCCTTTTGCTCTGGCTGGCTCAACTAGACAGATAATTATTGTTGGAAAATGAAAGGGTCTACAAGAATCTCTACTGCAACATACATTCATATATATTATTGATAACCCACATTGAGCTTTTTCTCGGGAGAACAAAAATATATGAATGGTTAGTGGTCTCAAGTCTTGAATAAAAAGCCTGGCACTCAACAGGTTGAAATTAATTGAGTGCAAAGCTTACTCATTTCGACTTATGTCTCGACTATTGTAGTGTTCCAATTCGATCATATTAGATGAAATCTTGAAGACACCCGTGATATGATCTACTTCAAATCTTGACGAGTATATTCGAATATTTGCACAACGATATTTTACAGATGTACATCACTGACAAGCTAACGTTATTTGGTGATATAACTGACGATGAAGTGAAATTCAACAACTTCCGTGTGTATGGTACTGCAGTTCTGGCGGTGATGGGAACGATAGTATATTTTGGAGTGAAATTTGTCAACAAATTTGCCACAGTGGCGCTTGCATGTGTCATTTTCTCCATTCTGGCTGTGTACATTGGAATTTTTGTCAATATCAACGGGAATGATAACTTACAGTTAGTACCAATGTTTACGAAATTTATGGTCACAAGAAACTTCAGTTTTCGATACTTGTACTTACCATCAAATAAGGGTGGAGATAGAGTGAAACACTCATTTTCAATGATATGATTGAACAAACAATGGTAGACAACGAGTGAAACACAACTAACTCTGTCATAAACACGAAAAACTTTTATGACAATATCAGAATTGAAGAAGTGTATCAGAAAATCGTATTTTATCAACATACATTCTTTCAATCTGGTGGCTTTTACCGTTTAAAAGTTATGCGGGAAAATTATTTCAAATACTTATATCAACTTTGGAAGGAAATATCTCCTTTAATATACATATTGGCATATCAGTTTATTCATCAAAGTATACGTATTTTCCAATGTACAATCACCTCCACAAAGCTCGGTACACATTTTTGACTCACCCTGTATATTTCTGTTTATTTTGTAGGGTTGAAAATTTAGTTGAATTACATTTCGAATGAGGTTTCACTCGACCCCCTTGCAATTCAAAAATGTCTTCCAACATGTCTCCCAGCAGCAATTGAAGCTAAAAATCCTTGAAAAATATTTAGTAGGTCATGAGTCGACAAGGTTCCGCGAACATTATAGATGTTTCTTTCTGGCGCTCCAAGAGATGAAAAAAATAAAGAACTATGCCTCAAATATCACCCCCGAACATTCATGACCTGCTAATATTATGTGGAACCTAATATTTCTCAACTCTGAAATATTCCCATTGGGAGATATTTGAAGCAGTCATTCGAAATCTGAAGTTTCTACTTTGATGCTTGCTTTGTACCTATTCACCTAATTTGCATGCGAATGCTTGGAGATATACATTAGTACAGAGTATATCCATTTGAATACTAATAACTATGTGAAGCGTTACAGGTACTTCAGGGTAGTTCATTAGTTTCTATCTTGATGATAATTTGAAATATTTCGAACAACTTCCAACAACGACGTTAATTCAGAATTTTATTCCGGAAATGGAGTTTCAATTATCGAATTATATACAGGATGAAAGTTGAAGAAGTAGAAAGACTCTGAGTCATCCCCACGAATTTGATAGACCTCATTACTCAGTATTAGTAAGTAGTAAATGTGCGAGCCCTTTTGTTGAATGATAAAAAATTCAAAATGATGGACAGGCCTGTACAAAATTCCAGGGCTGAAATATGAGGATCCAACCAATAGTTGATATTTTCCAAAATATAGGTTTCACAATCACTTTTTTTGATATTTCAGTCTCGAAATTGGCACTAGAGAGAGTGAATAGTCAGTAGGGCATAAAACTCTGTCTGGGGTGTCACCTACTGGGTATACCTTTACTGGACAAAATACGACATAGGATGAAGAAGCACCTTTTTGTACAGATCTACTGAAGTTGAAACAGGAGCCTAAAGTTTTCGAACCATTCCCAAACCTCATTGTCGAAAAATTTTGAATTTTTAACGAGACCCACGGGGTCTCGAGAAGAAGAAAAAACATCCTTGAAAGCCTAAATCACTACACAAATGATGACAGTGGGCTGACGCCATGCTGTTAGTGGACCGGAATAAAACTTCCTGGCCAAACTCAGCCTCCACAATTTTATTGAGGAAAATAATCATCAAAAAATACGAATCTCAACATATCACGCGGTGGTAATGGTTCAAAAGATTTAGGCACTTCTTAGTTGAACAAATCCATAATTTGTTGAGCACGATTAAGAAGTACAGTTTCGGATTATTACAATATAAAGTACCTTTTGTATGAATGAAAATATTAGTATATTACTTCAATAGACTTTTAGGATTCCTTGGTTGGTAGTGTTGGTACTTACCCCATATCATGGAGTCTCCAATTCATATGCATGAAATCTGTAAGGCATATCAAAAGCTCTCATCCTGATAATCTGCATTTTCATTTCATCTTTCGTAAAAACGAATCAATTCACCGTGGAATATCTCAAGATTCAGAATTTAGGGCAACTTCGAAACAAAATTAATTAAAATTTACGTGATTTCCATGCCGGAGAAATTGGAAGTTTTGATTCTCGAATTTCCCGTCAGCAAATAATGTGCTGAAATTGGAATCCGCTGGACGGCAGCTAAATGCTATTTAGTCTAGCTACTATGTGAGGAGACCTATGTTGATATAACAACAATTTAATTGAGGAGAATATTAATTTTTCCACCACTAGTTATAGAATCTACCATTATTTACTTCTTTTCAAGGCGTGAAGTGTGTTTTTTCTACCAAGGTAGGTCAAGGTCTTTGTTATAATTCACCCGAATTCACTGGTGCGAGATTCGCAGGAATGGCACTCAAATCTAGTACAACGACTTGTCATGTACTGTCATGGTCATGGGTAGTACATTTCAATTAAAATTGAGAAGAAGTGCTTTCATGGTGACAATAGTTCAAGTTTCACAAAACTATAATGATTGAAATATATTGCTAGTGGTGAAAAACATATAATATTCATCCATAGTGATTAAACAAACCTCAAGAAACGAATGATTCCCGAAAAACATTGGATGAATTTCAGATCCAAATCCAAGTTCAAATTGAAATCACAATTTTCATCAACAGAATACGTGAACTTCTCCTGGGAAAATGTATTCAGCAATTATTCTACCCGTTTAATTATTTATTCAGCGAATTTACATTCTCACTTCCTTTTTTAATCATTCAATTAAAATGTATGTCGTACCAACGTTTCCTATGAATTTGATGAGTTTATTAATAATCATACCTACTAATTCATCAAAAAGTGTTTGGATGTACCTAGTGTCAATAAGGCATGATGTGAAATCAAACTCAATATTTTCTACACGGTTGTTTTCATTTCCTTATACTTCCGAACCGAAAAAACGATCGTTTAGTAATCAAGTTTGTGCTGTGTGAAAATCACGAGTTTTTTTATACAGAGTGACCATGTTCTAATGACTATGAACCAGAAATCGACAGAACTCGATGACATCTCTGTCTTTGAATAAGCTTTAAAGTTGTTGGTTATTGGGATTTAAATTTTCATAAAATCTGACATTATTTCTAGATATAGCTCGGACAGATAGGTTTTCGTGATGCTATAGTTCTAGTTGTGTAAAAGTGGCTCAGCTAATGCTTTGTATTTTTGAGAACTTATATGATTACTGTACTGTCAACATTTGGCCCGTTTTACGAAAAATAGGATGAGGTCAATTTCTCTCTCTAATATACTATTTTTAATACGACTGTAAATGTACTGATGTCATCAGTGTACATTTGAATCAAATCGATAATATTTGGATCGACTTACAAGGGTGTTACATAACTTGAGTAGAACTGTTTGGCCCTCATGATCACTCACTTTTATTTGGGATAACAAGATGTTTGATGAAGTTATTCGCAGGTTTCTATTTATTCTTCTCAGGAAATCAATCATGAACAATAATGTTCAGTATTCAACATGACTTTCTTCCCAAAATTTGTAGTTCAGCGTGAGCATGTTTTTTGTATTGAATAATTATGCAAAAATAAACATTTCTCACAGTAAATAATCACCCTAAATTACAAAAGTCTAGGAGATATTTGGGCCGAATACTAATCATTATTGATATGATCAATTTCCAAAGAAAAAGAAGTAGAAACCTGAGACAATTCAAAAAGCCAATGTGCATTTCAAATTGCATCAAATTGAATCTCAGCTATTTGAAAAATCTGAAAAAAATATCGAATTTTTACTTATTTTTTCAATATATCTATATTTCTTTCCTTCAAACATTTTTTCAAACAAATTGTCACTGACATGCTACTGGATTTTTCTTTTAGACTCCCTGATAGAAAAATTTGTTAAACGCAGTGACATTTTGGGGCAAATCATCTGATTTGTCCCCTCGTTTGTCCCACTACGAATATATTTAAATAATACGAATATTTTTATTTTATAGAAACGAGGAGAGAAAATCCCAAAGAATCAAGTAAAATGAATATACCACCTCCTCGATTAACCTACAGACAGTATTTATCATATCCTCAACTTTTTGAGGAGAATAGGATCAGAACATTATATAGGAATTTTCTTTCGTGCGCTCCAAGAGATAAAAAAAACTATAATTGAGAAGTTCTAGGACGCATAGGAAGAAGAGGAGACCCAATAGATCACATGGCTCACAGTTCACACATCACACTTATCTACACATACATAGGTACATACAACCCACCCAAAATTCTGACCTGCGAAAAACTCCTATACAAAAGCACTGGCCAGACGTATCGTCCAGTATATTATCTCTTATCGCTTTGCCACATCATGCTACACGAGATAAGACTGGCATCGATCGCTCAAATCGATAATATACTGGGCGATGCGTCTGACCAGTGCTTCTGTAGGAGTTTTTTGGCACTCCAGAATTTTGGGTGAGTTAGAATCGCTATAGTCCCTCTACTAGAACTTCATCGAGTCCTTCCGATTTCCGAATTTTCAGTTATTAAAACTTCCTCACCTTGTATACGGCTTCATATGAAACCACTATGCTATTGGCATAACTTGGCATTATACGCGTTCGAGTGTTCCTTATTTGAATGAACGTTAATTGCCCCATGTATTCCCATTAAAATTCTCAACCTCATTTCTTGTAAACGGATAATTTTCATAAAGGTAGGCATCCCATAATATTGGCAGAACACTACCGAGTCATGCATAATAGATGAAAATCAATGGAAAAACAGTAAATTAGCGATCGATTTAAATTCCTCGAGGGATTAGAAGGATTTATACGTATACATATATATCAAATGATAAGCATGCAATATATCAGTTACAGCTGATAGCAGAAAGTAGGTATCTATATTTAATTCGGATTTAGTTTTACTTTATGAACGAGTATATTAGAGAAATGTCCCAACTCCGAATGGGTACTCCTATTAACTTTCTAAAAAACTGGCTTTCATGAGATAGAGAGTTGCACATCCCTTAAACAAACCACACCTCAATCATCAACAACACTGATAATAAAAATAAAAAAATTGTCAATATCTCGGACTTCATCCAGATCAATCTGTTGAACTCGTGATCTTGATCTCTTGGGGGTACAATTCACACACTGCTCACTAAATCATCTCAGCATGACCAAAGTCAAATCTTATTGGTGCAATGTAGAATAGGGCCGATATTCGTGGATCTCTTTGTCTGTACAGAGAACATGAGTCATGATCCAGTGATTACTTACACATGTGTTGGGAAGTGGTCACTGGTTGCGGCTCTGAATCCTTTCAAGTTTTTCAGTCAAGAAGTTTTGATATACTCAGGTTGTTGCGGTTACAGTATTTCGAAATATTTCAAAGCGTCATATAGGTATTCTTCAAGCACATCGTAATTCTTAATTTTAAATGTTTTAGTATATGTGTACTCGGTAAAAGATTACTCAAACTGGATAATCCTTTCGAAGAATGTCACAAAAACGAAACAGGAATTCTACACAAGATGTTCTGCAAAAATGAAACTGGATTCGGTGACGTCAAATTCAAGTGTGATCCTTATTACGAGAAACATGATCTCGTTATTGAGAGAGGAATCAAAGGACTATCATCCGATGCATTCTTTGGTGAGTACGTGCATAGCTGTCTAGGAATCCCAGATTAACAGAAACTATTCCAGATAATATCTACGATTGTTTTCTTGAGCAAGGCCAGTTCATCAGCAAAGGAAAACAACAAGAAGACATGGAAAGTTTCGGAAATGATCACTACAACCAAGTTTTCTCTGACATCACGACGAGTTTCACAATACTCATCGGTATATTCTTTCCTTCAGTAACCGGCATAATGGCCGGCTCCAACAGATCTGGTGACCTTGCCGACGCTCAGAAATCTATTCCCATCGGAACCATATGTGCCATATTGACTACTTCAACAGTGTATCTCTCCTCCGTATTGCTGTTCGCTGGAACTGTCGACAACCTCCTCCTTAGAGACAAGTATGTCGTTGAAAGCCTATTAATCCATGCGCACATTGAGACGCAGGCAACTCAGGTGACGCAGGGCAACACAGGCTGAGCGCACATTCAGCGCAGCTGCTGCGCTGTGTCGACTGCATCTCAATGTGCGTCTGGACTTAATGTCAGATCAGGTACTACAGTTAACTTCCGATTTCAGGTTCGGTGAATCGATAGGTGGCAAATTCGTTGTGGCAAACATCGCCTGGCCTAACCAATGGGTTATACTCATAGGCTCCATCCTATCAACCTTAGGTGCCGGTCTCCAATCGCTGACTGGAGCACCTCGACTCCTTCAAGCCATAGCCAAGGACGGTATCATTCCATTTCTATCCCCTTTCGCTGTCTCATCCAGCAGAGGGGAACCTACTAGAGCTTTGCTGCTGACCCTTTTGATTTGCCAAGGAGGGATCCTACTTGGGAATGTCGATATCCTAGCACCGTTGCTGTCGATGTTCTTCTTGATGTGCTACGGATTCGTCAACTTGGCGTGCGCTTTGCAGACTCTCCTGAGAACTCCCAACTGGCGACCACGGTTCAGATACTACCACTGGTCCCTCTCCTTCCTTGGTCTTTCCTTGTGCATTGCGATCATGTTCATGACCTCATGGTACTTGGCCCTCATAGCGATGGCCATGGCGGGAATCATTTACAAGTACATCGAATACAGAGGGTAAGTTTTCGTAATCAGAGTAGTTGAAATTTTCGACAACTAGTCAGCCTTCAGAGATATTTTATTCGTTCATGTTATGTTTGAATATGTGTGTCTTCTAGAGCCGAGAAAGAATGGGGTGATGGCATTAGAGGATTGGCTTTGTCCGCAGCAAGATTTTCTCTATTACGTTTAGAGGAAGGTCCCCCTCACACGAAGAACTGGAGACCCCAAATCCTGATCCTAGTCAAACTTACCTCCGATTTATTACCCAAATATCGGAAACTGTTCGCGTTTGCAGCTCAACTAAAAGCTGGTATGTAATCCATCTTCCTTCATCTATGAAACATGACATGATTGATATTTTTTCCAGGAAAAGGTTTGACCATTTGTGCCTCTGTAGTGGGTGGCGACTTCACACGTTCTTACGGGGAAGCGATGGCTGCTAAACAAAGCCTGGGCAAGACCATGGAGGAAGAAAAAGTGAAAGGTTTTGCTGAGATCCTTGTCGCCAGAGACATAACTGAAGGATTATCCAACTTGTAAGTTTTGCCATCATCATCGTGGCCAATTCCACTGAATGATTTCGTTACAGAGTCCAAACTGCTGGTCTTGGGGGACTGAAGCCAAACACGGTCATTTTGGGCTGGCCGTATGGTTGGCGACAATCAGAAACCGACCGCACATGGCAGGTGTTCTTGGAAACCGTCAGGAATGTCACTTCAGCCCACATGGCCTTACTGGTTCCCAAGGGAATCAATTTCTTCCCGGATTCGACTGAAAAAGTCGTTGGAAATATCGATATCTGGTGGATTGTCCATGATGGAGGGTTGCTTATGCTGTTGCCTTTCTTGTTGAAACAGCACAGGACCTGGAAAAACTGCAAGATGCGTATCTTCACGGTAGCTCAGATGGAAGACAACTCGATTCAGATGAAAAAGGATCTGAAGACATTCCTTTATCACCTCAGAATTGGAGCTGAGGTCGAAGTTGTTGAAATGGTAAGTAATTTCTGTTATTTGGTATGCTCGGTATTTGCGAATATGGTTTCAGATGGATCATGATATATCTGCTTACACCTATGAAAGGACACTTATGATGGAGCAACGTAATCAAATGCTCCAAGAATTGCGACTGAACAAAAAAGAAAGTCTTGGCATGGTAAGGTTATTTTTATTTTTCATCTATTTTGTTATGGATTCGTGATAAAAAGTTAATATGCATTATTTCTGCCATGCATGGTACAGTCTTTGGTGGATTTCAATCCAGGGTCTGCGGAAGAGAAGTTGCCTTTGGTAAAGGAAAATCGTATATCGCTAGAATCATGGTTTATTTGTTTATGCACGGTTGTTCTAATTTACCATCGCCCTACCCTCATTTTTCTTGTCATCTTCTCCGACTATTCACAGGGTGTTTTCGAAGGTGAAGCATCAGCAGAGTCTAGAACTCATCAACATGAACCATTTCACCAAAAATCCTGTTCACCAATAGTTGTTCGAATTTGACTCCTTTCATTTTTTAGTCTAGACTAAAACTTGGCAATAAGTTCATCATTATCGTGAACATTATTCAATGACTGACTGACCAATTCAACTGGACTGTCGCGTTTATTGAACGTAGTAAACTGGGCCGATATCTTATCGCTAGAATGATATTTGGTATGTCGTTTTATTTTGATGAGTTCTACCTCTGAGTATTCAACTAGTGTATATAATCAAGGGTTCTACATGGTTCTACATTTCTGTTAAAAAATGCCTCATGTTTGAAAACATCTATGTATTTCATTTCTTATTCATAGAAAATTGGAATTGGAAGGTGAAATGAAATGTGAAATATATTCTAGGTACAATCTATTATAGACCAGCACCATACAATTGCGGATTCCAAAACTGCGACCAAGGTTCGATTCCAGGAACCAGGACCTGAAGGCGATAACAAAACCGCTGAACCCACGAATGAGGTAAGATTACGATTTATAATACGTAAGATGGAATCAGTTCAAGCTAAATATTTGCAGCCTAATTCTGAATCGAAGGAAGATTGTGACAACTCCAAGGAAAAGGATGATTCTTCGGAAAAAGAAAAGGAATGTACAAACGAACACAATCACAACCATACTAATTCTGTATCAGAAGAAAAGAATAAACCCACCACCAAAACCCCGTAAGTTGATTAAGTTGACATTCACAATACAATCTGGTTTTTTGTATGAGACAGTTAGTTGTATAGATAGCCGGTCATACTTATTTTTTAGATCTTCATATTTCTTGCCCAATATTTCTGGTGGACTCATAATGGTTGTGAAGATGTTTGATGTTAGTTCATTAACGACCATCGTCCTCGTTCGAGGACGGTGTATTTAGGTAGGGATGAAAAACATGCTCGTCTACATGTTTTTGCGACGGCAGCAGATGATATTGTACCTGCATTAGGCGAGAGTGTGCATCATTGCATGTGCATCGTTCGCCGTGATAGTCCGGCTGTACGTGGAAAAGTGGAAGTTTGATGTTTGGTGCACTTTTGTACAAAGCTATTATACGAGAAATGTGGCATATTCTTTCACATCATTTTACTATGAGAGATGAATAAAATGAGAAATGGTCAAATGAATAGGTACTTAAACGGAATATTTTGTGGAAACTTGGTGTCCTTCATTGAGGACGTTGGGCTTCAGACTGAAATCATGTTTTTTATGCTTTTTACATTTCAGTTATAGTTATAGTATTATTATCTGCTACAGCCAACTACAGGTATCGCAAACATAGATTATAGCTTGAATGTTTTAACGAATCATTAAGACCTCGGAAATAAGCTAACTGCTGCATTTGGCAGGAGTTTCAAAGACACTAACGAAAAAACTTATTGCAATGTAGAATGGCTGTTGTGAATGATTCCCTCGCAACGATTCACGATTTTTTTCAACAAATCTAGCACAAAAATAAATAATGATTATGCCCAGTCACATATATTCATTCCGTATACCCATAGCCATTCAACAATCATTGACTTTCATACTGATTTATTCAGGTTCTTGACATTTATACTCCATTTTTAATACCATATATTTGAATAAAATTCGAAATATATTTACATTTTCTTCTAAGTACTGAACCAGTCTGAGCCAGCGTCATCGATTGAGGACGGTATTTTTTCGGATATTCGAAGAAAGTCTGCACAACTTTTCCACATCGAAGAAAGACAGACATAATCAGATAATGGAGAGAAAAAATTCGATAATATATAATAATTTGGGCGTTAATGAGTTGAACACCAAAAAGTGAATTTTTAATTCTGTACATATCAACTTATCTTGTTACTTCTTCTTTCAGTGACGAAGGTAACGTTCGTCGTATGCATACAGCCGTCAGGCTGAATGAAGTGATAGTCAATCGTTCTCACGATGCTCAACTAGTTATTCTGAACCTTCCTGGGCCTCCCAAGGACACCAAAATGGAGCGAGAGTCAAATTGTAAGTAGTCGATGTAATATAAAAATTCGACGAATTCTGATATAAAAATAGTGTTGATTTCATCCGTATATGATAGGTACAACAATTTCAGAACAATTTTAGGATAATTTTTCTCAGAACAATGTTGTTTAGAACATAGGTACCCCAAAAATGCCTCTACATTACCAGTTTTACTTTACACAAGAGGATTATTGACTCCTTTCATCTCGAATTTCAATCTTCTCACTATGAGAATCTAGTTATTTGTAGGTACTTACCGACAGAAAATGACTTCGTTAGTTGTATTGTTATTTTTACTTGAGTATATTTCTAATATTCATTCATATTTTCTTCATCACCTTACTTGATACAACAGAACGTGCCTCTTATTATCGCATATAAACTTCGATTGTTTACACATTATCCAGAATACCCTGTATTTAGGATCGTGTGACAACCATATACAGGGTGAGGTAAGGTGAGATCTTTCAATCCAAATGCAATGTAACCTTGAGCATCATTCAATTCACGTCAACAGTTGCAAGACAAAATTGAACATCACTCGGATGAAATAGCAACTGATCCTCAACCGTTTGAAAAAAATAATGCATCATTTAGAAAAAAGTATAGAATCGGGTATTCGTGGAAACTGAGGACATTTTGAACATTAAATTGATTCAATATCTAATGTTGTCAGTAAAAGTTATCTCAATTTTCTACTACTCGTGATTCTCTATTAAATCATTAACTTCAGTACAAGAATAATGTAATTTCTTTGATTTTAAATAGATAGGTAATTGATCCCAATAATAATCATTTTATACCAGCATGTTCGAGATCACATGAGATTTGGTCTGAAAAATCTAACCTCAAAAAACTTATGTTTGAACTACTCGGTACGCGGCGTTCTCTATGCGAGTCAGATATGAAAACAAATCCATGCGATGTTTCAGCTTTCAGAACATATCCATACAAAATGTTATTACAATGATGCCAGTAGTTTCGATATAATAGTGAAAAATGTGTGAAAAACATTTTATTCACCACCTTGTATCTTGAGAACGGAGGCCGTTACGACATTTTCTTACTGAGCAAACTCAACTCATTTTGCATTGTTTTACCTACCCAAGCAAGGGGGTCACCTTCCTTTGAAGCACCCTGTATATGCATGTTTAAATGAATTAATCAAATAGCGGATTCTATTGGTAAAACTAGTGTGCACTCAGTATTCACATTTCTCCTTCTGCTACACGTCAAAAAGAAGGATAGATATACACTGAGTGCATAAATACTCCACCAGTTCATGCCCTATGGAATTCGCTATTATAGGCAGGAACTGGTATAGTGTTTCTCCACTGAGTGTATATTTACCTTTGTTTAACACATGCGAGTAAGAAGGAAACATATACATTGAGTGCAGAAACATTCCACCAACTTTTCTCCACTGAGTGTATATTTAGCTCTGTTTAACTCATGAAAGTAAGAAGGAAACATATATATCAAGGGCAGAAACACTCCACCAATTCCTGCCGATGGAATTCGATTAAAGTCTCAGGGTATTTTCTGAATTCGTAACCCGTCCGCTAGAGTAAAATGTAATTTCTACGCTACCATCAATATAATCAAAGGTGTATAGGTAAACAGGATGTTAATCAAGTATGTGGCCAAACTTCATGGGGTGATTTTTCGAGTAATTCTAATGCGTTTCCGGACCTTTTCGTCTTGAAACCATTCAAAAAAATCATCCCTCGATGTTTGGCCTGTATATTATCTTCTGAAAATTGATGTTTTCTAGATATGGAATTCTTGGAGGTACTCACAGAAGGATTGGAGAGAGTACTGATGGTGCGCGGCGGAGGACAGGAAGTCATCACCATCTATTCGTAATTTTAATATTTGACACCAATTCTGCGACTCGATAAATCGAAAGATACTTTTTTAAATAATCAAAGGACATTCGCTAATACTCAAAATGGCGATGGCGTAACAGTATTTTAGAATGTTTAAACAGGAGAATAGAGATTATACAAGAGAGATACCTACTTATTTATACTTCTTAATGTAATAGATTGTAAAAACCAGGTGCATGGTAACGCCACCTGATTGCGGGATTCTTCAAACTATATATAGTACTGTATCAAATCAAAATGGTTACGAAACGTGCTCATTTTTCTACGAAAGAACAAATGGTCATGCCTGAATTTGCAGTTATGGTAAGCCGAATAGTGTAAGTCTAAAAAGTATATTAGGCGGACTTGATTGAGTATAACTCATCTAGGTGATTTTGATCAACTTATTATAATCGTGACTATCCATCATTTTTTAATTCGACAACACGAAATTTTTTATAACTGCTCTACAGTACCTATATAACGACTATATACTGTGGTACGAATTTCATTCAATCACTTCATCATTAATTAATTTCGCTATTTCGTTCAAGATTTACAAAAAAGTGATCGATGAGAGCAATATTTTGCCTAGCAAAAAAATCATGCATTTTTGTGATATTTTTGCTGGGTCGGATATGTTTATTTGGAGGAATGTTGCACAAATTCATACAGGTACAAATCCAAGTATCTTCTCAATCATACGAAATACAATGTGGGTTGAAGTAGGAACAGTTGCGAGTCTAATCAAAGTCCGGTGGAAAAGATATAAAAAATCGAATTTCGTTTGAAGCATAATTTTTTTTGCATATAATTTCGAGGCAAATCATCTGTTCCAAACTAACATATTCCATTTGATGATTGATTCTTATTTTTGTAAATCTGTCACTAAATAGTGGAGCAAAGCAACTCGGTATACTTTTTCTGTTAGGTGGTTATAAAACAAAACTCGTTCTCGCGTAACTTTAAATAAAATTAAGAATTTTGAGCAATATTAACTTAATAAATATTTACTGTATTGAATGTCAAATTATGAGTGATAGATGATATACTCAGTAAGTTATATATCCGACATGTTTTTTAACAACAATCTGAGGATGCAATCAACTTTTTATAAAAAATGGCATGTTTTGCTAGAAAAAAAATACACTTCAACTTTTGCTTGATTTCACAACATCTTCAGATTGATGATAAAACTATGACATGAAAGCAGTTTCTCTTGATATGTACAATCTTCAAAGAAAAGGCGAGGTGCATAGGTCTCTCCGTCCTAAGCCCATATTCAATCAATATTCAAAAAACAATCAAATAGTGAGAAAATTATAAAAATATTTGTTCATCGGACATCTAACGTATTCTACCAACACACAAATACTCAAGTTATGAATAGACAACTAGGATCCCGAATAAATCATTCAAGATCAACAGAACAAATAATTCGTATTTGAATTCGAGTATTCCTCGAGATAAGATTTTTTGCAAAAATATTGATTGAATTTATGAGTCACCTTTTGTTGGGCAGCATCAAACTTCTCTAAATAGATGCGATGTGCCACTTACAGTGCATTTTAAAGGGGCGGCTTAACTTTATATCCAAGGTGGTTCAAACTTCACACAAGAGTAGGTATTTCGGCAATATTGGTTATAATGCCCAAAATTATAGTAGTAATCAATAATATCAGCTATTCATATAGGTACTGATGATAGTAACCAATTTTCGAGGAAGCATTGAAAAACCTTCAAGCATCAACCGAAGTGTGACCACCCAAAAGTTATATACTTATACTGAGAGTCCTTCAAAAGACTCATGTACTTAGTATCAGCCAAGTTGGAATAGTTTCTATTGGGGCATTTAGTACGTAGTGTTACAAGTATATAATATACAATATATACACTTTTTCTCAAATTTTCTTTTCGTCTGAACATGAATATAGCAATTTTATACTCTGGGAACTTATCTTTGATGACATGGGGAATACATTATTTTCTTCTATAAATTTACTGGACATCTCACATCAGAAGTGAGCTAATACAAATTTAATATATTATATTCAATGAAATTTAATAATATATCTTCCACTATTGTGATTTAACTACATTGATTCTTCATATTATACAGGGTGTTTCATCAATATTGCACAAAACTTCGAGGACATATATTTTGGGTCAAAATAAGAACAAAAATTATATGTCCGAAAACGATTAATTTCCTTAAGAAAATTGGTTTTTCATCAGTTTCTGAAATATGCCTGAGCCAATAGTGATAAAATTCACAATGTCTGTTGAAATCACAATAAAGTATATCTTGGACCTAATACACTTGGTAAAGTATTATCAGGGGCGTGCCCACTGGGCAAGTCCAGTAGTTTCTCGCACAAAAAATAACACCCAGTAGATTTTTTCAAACTTCCGCAATTTTTTCGATTGAAGCAACTTAAAATACATCCTAGCCCCTTTGACTTTTTTTCGTATCGGGCTTAGTTTTAGAGGAAAAACATTAAAACCCCCGTGGAGAGAAGAATAAGAATGATGAATAAAAGTATCAATAATTGAAATAGTGAATACGGTTGGTACGTTCATCAACTAAATGACTGAACATTTTTTCTTATTTTGACCCAAAAAATACGGCCTCGAAGTTTTGTGCAATATGAATGAAACACCCTGCATAAACAGATGTACTTACTTAATTTGATATAACTATTTGAAATCAAAATATCTATCAGAAAAGTATTCAAATTCATATTATATATGTTATTTATTTAGATATTTATTGTTGAAAATTCTGTTATCCGAAGGAATTTAAGATAATTATGTAGGTTAGAAGTAAAATTACTCGATTTGTGTTATTCTTCATAACATCCATTATAACAGCAATTCAAACTGTGCTTGATGGAAGTGCTGTTAATAGTAACAGCCCCATTTCAATCAGTTTTTCAAAAGTGGTCGTTTACTTAAAAAAGATACATTGATGTTCCAGATGATATAGATTCGACGATTAGGTACTTTGAACTTTGTGTATGTAGATGATGGGTACCCAAAAGGCCTCTTTTGAGCAAAAATAAATCAATTTTTCTCTGACGAAATGGGGTGTTACAATAAATGAAACTTTTGTAAAAATGATAGTGAATTATATTTCTTGCGTTTTCAGAATTATGTGATTCTTCCTCATATTATACCAGAATAAAGAATAAATAAAAATATGTACCTATTTATGTAAATTTATTCCTACTGTTGATTTTCAATGAGCAATAATAATAGTTAGCTTGGTGATATATATATGAAAAATGTCATACAAAACTTCATTGATATAGGACACTTACACAAAAAGAAGTATGAAATAGAGAACAGAATAATCCTCTCGTCATCACAAAATTCTGAAAACAATTGTCTTTGGCTGATGATATATACTGAAAGCCACGTTATGTCATATGTATACCTACTAGTGTTGACAAATTTTCCGTAGAAGCTTTATTTTTTATAATTCTGATTTCAATTATTCTAGGTTTTTCCAACTGAGCATTATAAGTTTAATTTCCTATTTCGTACCTACATTACTTCAGGTATCACTGATCTTTTCTTGTAAAAAAAACAGATATAAGATTCTGCCACTCCTTTTGGACTATTTATGGCAAATAATGACGGACAGCCATCTATACTGTTTCGTGCATCTGCGCAAGTGTAGGGATATATAGTGCACTAGTGATCTCAACTAGCCTTAAAGGTACCTTAATATATAAAATTCTATATTTATTTATATTGATGTCACTAAAGTAGCTAGTGCCCAGATTGCGCCTTTTTACTTCATCTAGTTGTAGAAGTTTAGCAGTAGAACAAGCGTGTCATTCCAAATGTCCAGTTGAGATGTTGAAGGAATAATAATAATATGGTCATCGTAGAATAAATAGGAATATCCAATGAATATTTTCCATCTCTAAAATCTCATATAACTACCTAATATTTTTTCATTGCCCAACTACATTTGATATATGTTATTATTGCCGAGCACATATTTCATATATCTTTTCAAACCAGCGTGATTCTTCTGAATAAATGTATCTATCTACCTATATATTTATAATGTGCCAAACTCCCTTAGTTCCTTCACTGGATTATTTTATTGTAAGGAATAGTTAATTATTTATACCTATTTTCCGAGTAGGGCTTCAACCCTTCAAGATCTTGATAACTACCTATTTCTGTAAACGGCGCAATCTGTCTTTTATTATAATTCTTATTATTATTATTATTTTTGAAAATGTGTTCATTGGATAAAACATGGAATAAAATTATAAATATAGTGATTTGTTGTTTTGTTGAATATTCCACAAAAATTACTTAACTATACCCGCTTACTTCCAACCCACAATTGCTATTTTCATAATTTTTTGTGACTTGTGCTCTTAGTTGATAATGTGATGAATTTCGCACATGCTTTGATGAATTGCAATGCATATAGTACCGAATTGAATACACAAAGAGATTATTTGCCATGGTCTTTTGTATAATTTGGTATCGTGAGTATGCAATTATTGCTTATTCTATATATATTTTGGCACCTTTATAAATAATATAAAAGTTTTTTATTGTAGGAACGTTTGCAATTCTTGGTATTATAAAACATTCCTCCGTCAAGTTATGCATATGACATGACATATGGGTAAGAATACAAAGAAAAATAGGAAATTTCTTAGTATACCTATACCCCTACTTTATCTGCCCTTTAAGTGATTGCCTCAGATGATGTATAGTATTTGTATTTCCAGCATCGAGATAATGTATTTCCAACATTGTCGAATGTCGAGGTATATTTATTTATTATTTCCGCTGGGCAGCATGTGAATATAACATCCTTCTGTTCAGAAAGTTTAGTCAAGCGAATCCAGACCTGGACGATTTTTATTTTCAACAATTTGTATCATATTATGTGGAGTTATGTGAAAGACTTGGATGAGAGGGTCGAGAGTGTAAAACTTCAAAAACTTGGGAATTAATCATATGTTTGGACTTGGGACGTTGGGAATCAATACATCAAGGGTTGGAGTCGCTAGGGATGGGGACCACACCTTCAAAACTAGTGGTAAAGTAGGAAGCTGTGATAGGAACTCACAACACTTTAGCCACCAGATGGCGCCGTTAATCGAATTATCCTTGCAGATTCCTGTTCGGTATCCTGTGAATGAAAAGGATCCATTAGGTATTGTCGTTCATTGATACATTTCAGTATACACGCTTGGTGGCACCACTTCGGTTAATCAACTGTAGTGGTGAGATGTGAGGAAAGTCACATGATTCTTTAGATTGGAACTTCGCCTAGTTTATCTTCATATCCACCTATTCTCTACACATAGATTAAATACTCCTTTATATTATGAAATGATAATCGACGATTTTCTGCGCCATCTAGTGGACCATAATTTTCGCGACGAATATTTTATGATGTTCGTCCACTGGTGAGAGTTCAATCATATTATATAACTATATATGTATGTACTTATTGATCATACATGAATTGTAGACTCAGGTTTCTTCACTCAGATATTCTTTATCTGAACTTGCATCATATATTTGATAGTGCTCAATATTTGCACATATTTCCACGATTCCTCGTTGATTCTGAAAAACATAAAAATTCACGAAAACTGCTATAATTGGAATCATCCTCATGAATCATGCACTCCGATTGTCAGCGGAGAATCGACAAAAATGTCGTTTCCGTGGCCTAATGAAGATGGCGTTGCAAGTATTCGAATCGACCATTATCTAAAGTGTTTCTGTTTTTTGTCCACACGAATGAAAAACTAGTCGTTTGAGCTTCTGCATATTAACACAGCTAAGATCGCTAGATTCGACCTCTCCTCTCTTGTTTGCATTCCAACCTGAACTGTGAATTTGCCGGTGTCTATCACGTCGATAGCCGTGTGTGCGTCGTCTGGGATCTTTTTTCAACTGGTTATTATTTTTTTCACTACCGACAGAGGGACTTAACACCTGTAGTGTGCGCGCAGGTAATACCGCGGTAAAGTGTGATATTCAAGTGAGGATTTGAGGAACAACTGAAAAAACAACGGGGCAGCATCTTTTGGCCGGCCGGTGCAGGCATCTAGAAAGTCGGTTATGGCAGCTACCAGTGTCGTTGTATTAGATAGGGGAAATAACACCACCTGCACTATCAACTTACACGGTGAGACATTTTATTCTTGCATATTTTCGGAGTACAGAACAACTCTATCCCCCTTCCTTTAGACGTCTAAAAAATGACACTTCAGAAAAAGTCAACATAACCTGTACATGGTAGGTTGAACGCTTTTTAATGTTTCAGGTGCTACTGTGGTTTCTTGGAGAGTTAATAATCAAGAGCAACTGTTTGTCAGGCAAGTAAAAACTTTGCATTATTAACTTAATACTTCAAAATATTATTGCAAAAAAAATAATTCAATAGAAGGTTTTATTATATACTTATTTCAAATTGCAATCTGCCTAGGTAGTATCACAGTTTATGGAATATACCTAATTAGTAATGTTTGAAATTTCCATTCCTGCTTATCATTGTACAAATAATGAGAGATAATAGAAGTCAATGGTTCACCATTGGTGGACTTATGTTTTTTATAGAGGTCACCTTTGTTATTTGAATTATGTATTTTTTTACAGCAAACAAGCAGTATTTGATGGCAAAAAGGCAATCAGAGGTGGAATTCCCTTCATATTTCGTAAGTCTCATAATTTATTTAATTTTGTAAAAAATTGCCATTTTTATCTAAATGGAAAGGAACTAATGAATTAATTAACCCTATCATCTGGCTATCAGGAATACATCTAATCACTGTTTGAAAATTATTTAGGCTTACAAGAACAAGAATAAAATCATATTGGATAATAATCATCATGACCATTCAACAAGAAGTAGAATTAAAATCACTGCCAAATTACCTTTCTGCAAAAAATCAATTGGTCAAAAATGCTATTTATATCTCCGCTATAAAATCTTCAACAGTTTGCCAGAAATGTACAAAAATTATTTATTCACTATAAACTCGCCCAACCTGTTGAAGGACATCTTCAAACACTATATATTTTCTCTGACAAGAGAATACGTCCGTCACATTATAGAATAGGTAATAACATATAGTTTGAAAATTCACTCTAATTTGTACCCAAATATAATGACGATTATGGACATAATTAATAATTATTTTTTCTTTTTTTTTACAATTAATTTAGGACTCTTTATTCAGAGTAAATACTTATATTTGTTTAATTCACAATTCACCCTATATAATCTAAGTTAGCTCACGTAAAAATTATATAACATGTTTTGTTTTTCTCTCTCTCTCTCTTTCTTCTCTGCTGCTCGATTTCTAGGATAAATAGATACAGTTTTGATAAACCCATGCTCGACCCTGTGGTTCTAATGGGTTTTCTAATGCTTGTTTCTGCATCCTACCACAGCAAATAAAACAAAAAAAACATTGTAATGATATATATATTTTTCAGAAATAAACATTATTATTATTATTATTATTATCAGTAGTTTATTGGTCTGTGTTTGCATGATAGGACCACAGGAAATTAATTAAATTGTTAATGATGAATGTATTGACCAAAATATTCCTGATATAACTAAAATTGTCATGATAATTGTTATGTATGTTATCAATTTCCTAGCACAATTTGGACCCTGGACAATTGGCCCACAACATGGATTTGCTAGAATTATTCGCTGGCACTTAGAAAAAGCACCAGAACGGCTAGCAAGTGGAGATGTGGAAGCAGTATTTTCCATATTAGATACAGATTTCACAAGATCAATGTGGAACTATCCGTAAGGAATATTCAACTTTTCATTAAGTCCTGGGACAATGTGAATATTTTTTAGGTTTAGACTGACATACAGACTGATTCTTCGTGAAAAAGAACTACATTTCAACATAGCTGTTTACAACCCCAGCAAAGACTTGACTTTTAGCTTTAACATGTTACTGCACACATATTTCAAAGTTCCTGACGTGAGACGTTGTCAGATCACTGGATTGCAAGGGTGTACCTTCATAGACAAAACCAGGGAAGGGGCCGTCTATCAAGAGGTAACCGTTTCATTTATTATAATGGATTACAGCATCTGATTCATTTTTTTATTCTTAGGTTCGCGATGTAGTAACTATCAATGAATGGACTGATCGAATTTATCAAAACACCCCTCAAGAACACATCATCACAAATGTGGTATCGGGACGCAAAATGAGAATCCAGAAGTACAACTTCCCTGACACTGTAGTATGGAACCCATGGGTTGATAATGCCAAAGACATGTCTGATTTCGGGGACGATGAATACCCGAATATGGTTTGTGTAGAAGCAGGGCATGTTTCAAGTCCTGTAATACTACTTCCAGGAACAGCATTTGAAGCTAGCCAAATACTTCAGGTTATGTGAATTTTTTTGGTTCTTATCTACAGCCATTTCGGGTACCCACAGTGGGTGGGATGGGCTTTTGTATTGCTATGAATAATATATGTATTGATCAATTTTCTGATGAGGTCCGGCTCAGTAGGTGAGACTCATAGTTTTTAGAAGTATTAGTAATTCACATCAGGTGAAAAGCATCATGTTGGTGCCATTTCTTAAGTCCATCATATATTGTGCTGAACCATGCCATTATGATAACTCAAATTTAAATTGACCGATTGCACCTGACGTCACAACATGGCGGGTACATTGTTTTCATCGGCTGATCGGGCAATTTAATAGTTTTATTAATATGTAGATTTCGTGAGGATTCACATGAAACTCTTTGCAAGTTCATATGAAAATAGTTTGGGAAGGATTAGTTCATATTATTTATTTGATTAATTAAACATTCCATCATAAATGGAAAACTATTGCAGATTTCACTGAATCAGAATCATTCTCATCCCAGACTCTACCAGATATTCCTAGAATATTCTCTAAATATGCTAATATTCTTAGAATATATACGTGTCTCTGTAGCGTCCAAGGAATATAATAAATATGTAAATATTCCAGTAATATTCCAAAATAATATACAAGGAATAAACTTCAGGTATGAATTTTCCAGGAATATTTCCAACTGAATATTCTGTGTTGTATATGCCATCAATATTCCCATGTTTTTCATTGAAATGGTATAGCATAAACGCCAATCACTATTTTGGAGATGTATCAAACATTTATTATAAGTAACAAGATTTTGGAACAAAAAGTGAAGGTGAAGGCGTTGCTCTGGCAGTCTGGAAGTCACGGGTTCGGGCGTTTCCACCGAAATTTACTTAGTGTCAGGGGTATTGGTTCGAGCCCATCTTGGGTCACCTCTTTTTATTTAAGAATATGTTGATTTGAATATTCCGGGAACAGTAATTTATTCATATTCCTCCATCATCCCTGGAGTATTCTGAGTATTATCTGAATAATCCTAGAATACATTCTAGAGATCCATAGAATATTCTCCTGGACATATTCTATGAATATCTGAGGAAGTCCCATTTGCATAATCAGAGAATATTTCACTGATATTCTAGTATATCCTAGATAATTCCAATATTCGGATAGGATTATGACAATAATTCCAATATTCCAAATGGATTATGGCAGAGAGATTCATGGGATATCAAGTGCTTTCTGGGAAGTTCGTTTGATTTCCTCTTTTTACTGAAACCTACTCTGCAATACTGAAAATTAATTAATTTCCTAATGTTCATGCATAATTGTTTCAGTTTTCTATATTTTTCCAGGCTACTGATAAAGATTTGAATAATGAATAATGCAAACTAAGAATACCAAGTATTTAAGATAAAAAGTTTTTAGTTCATTGACAAGAATAAAATAAGATAAAGCCAATATATTATCATATTTTATAATTGAGTTTTTAAAAACCTGAGTGGATGGATACACCATGCATTACTGCAATAGAAACAAGTATTCTCTGCACTTACTTTTCAAGGTCCAAAGTAGATTTTTTGAAAATCCAAAAAAAAATTAATAGTCGTGAGATGAAATATCTTGGTTTATCTGGAAGCTGTGTCTCCAAAACGATCACCGTTTAAATTTTATGTTTTTACGTTCATTCAGTGCCTTTTTTCAAAAAGCTCTTCCAGAGAAACCTACATATTTCGATATAGAATTTTATATCATTTGTTTTTCGAAAATAAATTCTGGCCTATGAAAAGTGGGGACAGAGAAATTGAGAAGATGGTATATTAAAATAATTTTGTCCTTGAGTATCTCAACTTGAGATATACAATAGTCAGTATTAGTTGTCAAAAAATTCGCTTGAGTTCCTATTTTCATGTTTGAGACTATTTATTTTTATAATCGTGATACTCAATATTGATAGCAATAATTAATGTTGAACACAAAATGTATCTCAGTTGGGCTGAAGAGTTGTGTGTTTATGAGAATAAAAGTTAGTTTAGAAAAATTCTGAATGTCTTGTGGTAATATGTACCACAGTTTCACATTCCCAAGACAGCTAGCCTTATGTTGTATACGACTGGTAGTGAGTATAATAATTTTTTGTGCAATAGTAAATTTTCTGTGAAGTTATGACTTGATAGCTAACATGAATCATTATAGGTTCTGCTTTTAACTTCGAAATAAATTATTATCACTAGTATGGCTTTTTATTTAATTTAGGTGATAAAGATGAACTCCCTATTCCTATTCATAGTCATTTTTTCAATTCATAGGAATATTTTTCGACAAAAAATCGTGAACGTGAAGTCAATATTTATAACTTCGAGCTTGAAAAATATTAATACCTATATAAATTGGCCTATTTCAGTAAAAAAAATTCATTTTGATATTTTGAAGTACCTATATAGGAACCAAATAACAGTTCACTGTCGCTAACCGTTTTCTCAGAGCTCTAGTACATGTTTTGAATACTTATTGAAATTCACATTATTTCATAACATGAAAAACACGGGACAACCCGTGACGTCATATACCTTGGTCAATCCATTGCAATTATATAGTATGATGCAAATGTATGGAATATAAATCGATTTCAAAATAAGACGACTCCCGAAAAAAATCCAAAAACTAGAGTTCAGACCTTTTTTAATTGATGTATTTTTTCAACTAGACGACCCTTCGATGTTCAATTATCAGTAGCAGACCTCTGCAAGATTCAGTTGATCGAATCAAATCAAGACTCACGTGTTTTTGGAATTTTTTCAAATGTCGCCCATTTCTGAAATGATGAATGAAATGAATGAATGAATTTATTCCATACATTTGTATCAAACTGTATATGATACGACTTATACATGTATTGATGTGTAGGTATTGTGTTTATTTCATTACACTCCTACTGTGGAAGTAAATTATCATTTCTATGTAGAATGTGGAAATATACACTAATAGTGCTTATCGGTATCAAAAGTTATCGAGAGCTAGTGTTTTTGAGAGATGATTTTCTTGGTAATTGAACAAAAATATATTTGGGATGATTTCAAAGTATGAATGACTGTGGAGTGTGGAGAGTGCTAGGTTTGATTGGTAGAGTATCAAATATTCGGAATTATTAGAAACACGTCAAAATTGATTGAAATGCAGATGTACATCAGTGTGTCCAATAAGATAAGGACGAACAGCATGGGGATCTCGGTAACCGTATAAAAGTTAGACAAAAGATCAAATGGGCAAAAGTTGCGCAATTGACGGGTCAATGAATGGATGTTGAGAAGTTCCAAAAATGTTCTCTACTTCCGGAGATATTCGAAAAACACCTGAATCTTTCGATTGGGTTTTTATTTTTTTAAAGGTAATTGAAGAATAACTAAAAAACCGAAGGCACTTCCTCATTTTCACTTTTCTACCAAAATTGCATTCACAAAATTACCTTACATCGCTTCGTTTCTAAGAAACCATCATCAACTTCGTTTTTCATTTAACACTGAAGCATTTTTTCTGAATAAAAACATAAAATAAACATATTGTGCCATACGTCGTTGGATTAGCGATAAAAATGCTGTCATACAGGGTGTATTTTTTTGCTGCCATAAAAAATACAGTTGATGATGGTATCTTCGAAACGAAACGTATGAAGATTTCGTGAATGCCATTTTGTAGAGGATAAAAAGTGGCAATGAAAAAGTGCCCGTTGGGTTTTTTCAAAATTCTTCTAACCTCAAAAAAAAAACAAATCGACGAATCCCGGTTTTATTAGAATATCTCCGGAACTAAAAAACATTTTTGGGATTTCTCAACATATATTTATTGACCCCTCAATTGCGCAACTTTTTGCCTATCCGACCTTCTGTGTAACTCTTAGGGTAACCGAGATCCCCATGCAGTTCATCCTTATCTTGGGCACACTGTATATTTTTGTACCGAAACTTGAAAAATATCAATATCTAGATAATAATACGTCACCATATACGTGAGTGTCGACATACTGAATCATACCCCGATAGATGGCATTATTATCAAGACAAGAAGATCCCTTTCTTCTAATGAAAAAAAACTGTAACAGCCTAGCTGTACAGTGACTGTCACTGCAAAGTAGTTTTGCATTCCACCATGGCTTTCAGCTTGTCTTCCATGAAGGTCCAAGAGAGGGCAGCAAAGATAAATCTCGGATAAATCTATATCCTTATCTGCTCTCTCTGTTTTGTGAAAAATCATGTACAAGCCATGGTGGAATTATGGTATGGTGTGCTACGACGCGTCTTTGTATACGTCACTGCGAGTAAAACAATTGCTCGCAGTCTGAGCTCACAGGGTTTATCAGTTTGCCCGAGTCGTCGTGATCATTTTGGTGCGAGTATAGACTGGCAATGACGTTATGGGCGGAAAAGACGAATTCAAGTTGCACACGACCATATTATATTTCCACCATGGTATAAGCTACATCCATCACCAACTTCTCACCCAACTCTTATTTTTTTGTTTACCTTATTATCAACAATTCTGTATTAAGACTTGTTTAGAAAATGTTATGTTCGATGGATCTCGAGTTGGATCTGTTAAAAAAACTCAGGTGTTTCAAAATAAATGATATTTTCTGTTTCTATATAAGTGTTAGGCGCCTATAGTATTTCTAAAACCATAACTAATCCTCTCTGAGGCGTGAGCCGTTTACACTTGGTATATAGTGATGCCTGTTGAATATACATTATACAGTGAGACCAAGAAGGTTGCATAGCATCTTGGAAACGGGAGGAGATCTGGGTATATATACGGCCTTCGAAAATTTTCAAATTTGTTTTCAGTTTTCCAGTTATATCGAAATAGAAAATTCTTGGAAAATCTTTTATCTATTCGTTATTATTCAAGATACAGAAAAACTGAAAATACTTTGACAACTTTTGATGAGAATTAGTGTGTTGATGATTTTTACAAGCGACGTTTCGTATTCGTAGAACCATCATCCACTTTTTCTTTACGTATACGGTCCTGATTAGGTGTTCACA